ATATTACATAATTAAGGAGGTCTATTATAGCAATTTTGGCTAATTCATCAGTTAAGTTAATGCTGACCTCTTTTGGTATTTTCATGAAAGTTGAACTTTCATGTCATGGTTTTATTTTCCCAAAGAATTTCTAAGGAATCATGGACCGAAGGTTTTTCCTCTTAAACTTGGCCAATTTTCGAATTTCATCTTTTTAAGCTATTTTCTGGATTTCCTCTAACACTTAGCCATTGGTTACAAATCTATTTTGAAGCTGTGATGGGTTTTAGAGTTAATCAAACAATTATAATCGCCCATATATCAAATGAGTGAATGTGTGTGCGTTTGTTCACTCTTTGCCCTTTCTCTTATATATCGACTTATCTATTGGCTCTGATCGGTAACTTTATATTATCGCGGAATGTTCTTTCCTAACGTGATGTCACAATTAAAAAATAATAATTATAATGAAGATTTTTTTTTAAAACAAAATATTTGAAACATGTCACAACTTTTGACAATTTTTAATATTATTTTAATATTCTTTTATGTAGATAAAACAATAATAATTAAAATATCAATTATTGAATTGTTAGTTTATGTGTATTTCTTAAAAAATTGTATTATATTATGCTATTCTGAAAAATTTATCAACTATACATATAAATTTTCATTATTGAGATTTAGTTTTTATGTTTTTTCTTTGGGTGTTATGAATGCATTTCAATGTCGATTGAATAAAGAGAAAATTACAAATAATACCATTTTTGTCAAAAAAAGTTCGAAATCTACCATCTTCTCTAATTCCCACGAAAATCTACGACAACGCTCATCAAAGTATATAGATAAAAAATGACTTTGTCTCCAAAAACCTAATGCAAATTCTCCGGCAATAACGCCAAAAACTTGATAGCAAGAGATTCTACTACCTAATTTTAATCTCTAATCATCTACCACAAATGCATGACAATGTCATCATAGTATTTAGAGGTCATTCTTCAACCAAGAATTGGTTAGGACAAGGAAAATGCAAGAAACTAATGAAGCGATGTCAATTCAAGAGGTTTGATTTTAGTGATTACTCTAGCAACCTATATGAAATCATGCAAATAACAACAAAAAAAATGCAATATGAAAAAGTCAACAAAAAGTCTACAAAATTAAGCAAGATGATCAAATTCGATAAAGGCATGGACTTTAGGTAAAGATCATAGAGTAAGGGTGTTTAACATGTAACCAATGATGCTAAATCATACAAGCAACCTTTTCCAAAACATGGATCCATTTG